TCAAATCTTAGAGGCAATGAAGTAGTTCTACTTGGTATATTAAGATTTTATGAATATGTGTAGGCAGCCATTATGTACCTGTCTTCCGTTGTCCTCCTGGAATAATTTCAGCCACTAAATGGACAGCCCTGAATCTTCGAGTCTCCCAGTTCTTGGAGGCAAAGGTGTCTACTCAGAGTTTGCTGCAGCTGATTGACTCCCTGTCCATGTCAGATGCTTCCATATAAGAATCACTGAGCCTAGACCGTCCACATTACAAAAGCCAGATGAGCAAAATCTGTTCTTCCTGAAGAGATGCAGGCATGATACTTTTCCTTGAGTTTATGACATTGTAATTTACCTTAACTGGCCTACAACTTCTCAAGTGAATGAAGGAAAATCTTGGTGTGGGAAGGCAGGCATTTCTTGCCTTATCCCTCAGACAAATACGACTTGAAAGTTGTTATACAAAAGGCATGTAACGCAAGTATTAACACTATGATTTACAGAAATTAAAACATTATTACAATATGTCTAATTAGGAGCCATTATAAGACCAATTAAAGCTGTCAAAATAGAACAAAAAAGCAACATGTGTTTTTTCCCTGGAGGACTGGGATATGTTAAGACTCATTATTAACTTGTAATTTGAGGACAGAAGATTGCTTTCAGTTTGAGTTGAAATCTAGACTCTTAAGGAAAAGAGGGCTCAGGTATATTCCTTTCTGGCAGGCATTGCTTAAGCAAATGTTATCACAACAGTAGAAGCATTTTTTAATACTCAGGGCAGACGCTTAAAAAATCTGAATACAGCAGTAACTATTTAGTTCAGCTTAGCACCCAATGCAATTCTGACATTTGCAATCCGCGTGTCAGTATTCATCTCACTGCAGGAAGTAAGACAAAATGGCATTTAGTTTACCTGGAAAGGATGGTCAGACATCCCTTAAGGAATCTAATTAAAATGCAGCTTCTTACCAGAGCAGTGCATCACACTGTGCTGCCATAGTAACCAGGGGTCCCATGGACTTTCGGGGCCATCTGAGGGCATGTTTGCAAGAGGCACAAGAACTAAACTGATTGCCTGTGGTACATTTTAAGTGACCTGAAAACTCTGAATGATTTGCTGATGTTAACCTATGAAAGAAAATAATTAACTCCTGCAGACATTACTCAGACAATAGGCCAGTCTCAGGAGTCAATTTATTCTTATTACTGTTTTTTATGACATACTGCTCCCCACAGCTTATTTAAGAGGTGCACAACTTATTTGCAACACGTGAGCATCAAACAGTTTAATCTAATTCCCTAATAGAGAAACAATAGAGCAATCAAGACCTTTGGGCTGTGGAAGAGAAGATGAACAACAGAAATATGTATTCTACTTAGGCTGCTATTTCCAGTGCTATTTCCTGAAGTATCAGGCGCCTGACTGCTCTCAGTTGCTTTTGGTGGATGAGTCCCTGCTAGCACGCCACAGGGGGAGGGGGGAAATTAAAAAAAAAAAAAAATCACACTACAGCACTGGGCTTTTCTTCCCACATCCTTCTACTAGAAGAGAAAGATCCTTAAGCAACGTTAATAATTATAAAAGCAGTATCTAGCTTTGTGCCCTGTCCTGATATTAATTTTTCATGCATGCAATCAATAGATCTGCCACTGAGGCATTAAGATGAATTTTAACAGTAGAGATGTCCAGATCAAGAGATTCGTTTGACACACCACCTGTGAAAGAGACTGCAAATTGTTAGTGGGTTGTTGTGGGTTATCACGAAAGATTTCTCCAAAGAGTGCAGGATTTTAGGCTCCATTAAGCAACTTAACTATTGATGAAAATATCCACAAGTTGTTTGAAATTATAAGGAAGATTTTTAATGGCTTTGACAAAAGAGCTTGATAGCAATTCTGAAATAAATGAAATTCCTTAGAAATACGGGGCTGGGGCTGGGGGATGACATGGAAAATTGAAGCACTGGTTTTCTGAGCATCATGAAACCAATACGCTTGTGTGATTTTGGCCCACAGCACTACACCATCAGCTTCCACTGTATACAGCTGGGATAGGTATATACCCGGAAACTTCTATTCCATGTCCGGCATGCTAATACCAGGAAGGTATTGCAGAAAGCCAGAAAGGAGCTCAGTTCAAGAACAAGTTGGACAGTTCAGCCCCTGGGGTTTTGGGTCTCTTTTTGTACATACCAGTTACATGCATTATGTGGTTGTTTACCCATTTACAAATCGAGCCAACGACATTTACCTGTTTTAAGATCCATGCCCCAGAACACTGGAAAGACTAGCTGTAAGGGAAGTTCAAAATCCTATTCAGGATTGGAAAACCCGAAACAAAAGAACATTGTGTCATTCAGGTTAGAGACAACATTTGATCCAAAATAACAGACAACAAATCACACGAGAAGTAAAAGCATCTCACATTTAAATCTTTTTACTATATGGAAATGTATCCAGGCAACCTGATAACTAAAATTATCATCTCCACAAACATACAGTAGACTGAACTTCTGCTAAATGGGACTTTATACAAGACAAATTGATTGCAACTAATCCATCACTCATCTATACAGCCCAGCACTTTAACAACCTTGAAACAGTAATTCTTCAAAGGGCCTCATGATTTCCTGATAATCTGCTGCAACCCATTATTAATGGCTTCATTCACTCTCAGGTTCTCCTTACACAGAAAGTTTATTAGCACTACGAATTAATCTATTTTGTCTACAATTTACTGCAGCTGAGCTACCAGCTTGATAATCTCATTCTTCACACTATTTTTTGTATAGACTGGGCTTCCATTTGCTGGTTTTGTTCCCCCAGTTCCCTCACAGGAAGCAATACAGTCTGAATGCTTTAACAGGGGCTTTTAGAGAAGAAAGGTGGTGTTATAAATCATCACTAATTTAGAAGTTTATTTTTAATGGGTTACATTTTATTCGCTTCAGTTGAACACGGCTATTTACAGACACAAGTTAATAAAATACATCACAAACCAATAAAATTTCAACAGCTAATATTTATAGGTGCATAGTTCATGCTCAATTACTTTTTTATATGTATAATACATACACATAGATATATAAAGCTCTCACAATAAGTCATCTCTGCACAGAAAGAATAGTCATAGGAAACAAATAAAAATTGTATCATAAACAATATCAAATTACTGACAGCCTATCAACAAAACATGTACAGAGTTAGAAATAAGCAGTAGACACTTAGGTGTTTTTATTTAATATTTTCTTTTTTAACTTTTAAACTTGAAGCCACAACATCCACAGCACAACAATGACCCTGCCAGCCAGCTTTCATTTCAGCAGAAAAAAAATGCTGAAACAAGGTGGATGCAGTCACAGATACTCCAATCATTGCTGATGGAAGACTTCAAAATACACCGTAAAAACTGTAAAAAAATTTTACGACTGGGCACATTGGAACTCAGCACTTGTACAGGATGGGACGTCTTTAGTAGTAGATTTCAGGTGATACAAAGGAAGGAAAGGACTTTCATGCTTCAGGCTCATAGTCTTGATACTCTTCCTAATGAAGAAAGTAGCAATCAGTGTGACTAGTATTTTAGATAAAAACATCCTACTTTCACTGCTTGCTCTAGTCCTAGTGGATTCAATGCCAAGATATTATGGATTTTCACGTGATCAGCATCTTGCAGTTTATTGTTATTTTGTCACATCTTCCAGATACTGTACCTTACAAGCTGCGGAATTTACAGGAGGATTAGGCTTTTACAGTGGTTAACATGTCATTCACCTGATGTTGCCAGGGACTCACAAAGCCACTCATTACAACCGGAGAGGGAGGAGGACCAACTCTGGGATGAACAGCACACCAGGTGCTGCAGATAGTCATGCGAGTCAGTCCATCCTTTAAATGTGTGCTTAACTATGGGTACATGAGCAGCCCACCTAATTTCAGTGATATTCAAGGTGTTAGCAATGAAGCGTGCCTTTTTTCACTGCATTATGGCCTAAATGTTTTATACCTCTCATTTTCAACCTAACTATCTGTGCTACTGTAACACTGCCACTCCAACTACCAACGCATCATGCCATACATTGTAGTAATATTTTAGATAGCAAGTTCATGGAAAACAATAAAATAATTTATTCCCATAATTGCATTAACTTAAGAGTATAATAAATGAATTATGTTTTACAAAGTATGATGCTTTGATAAATGGCCAAGCTATTAAAACAGTGTATGAAGAGGTAGTTTTCCCCATATTCCCTATCAAACATAAGAAAATTATACAAGTGTGCTGTATCTCACAAATCCAGGCACAAGCATTTTGAAACACAATATTTTCCTGTTAAACTTCCTTACTATCAAAAATGCAGTGGATTTTCTGATTCCCGGCACTATCTCTGGGAGATCTTGGCCAAAGAGACTGTGTTTCTGCTGTTCCCTTGCAGCTCACAGAATCAGCCTGTGCCAGGCTGATGTAACTTCAGCATGCAGCCCCCTCCTGCCTTTTCCTATGTGAATTCACAGCAGATACCACAACAGGTTTACCTCTGGTGGCATTTCGTAAGCCTCATTCTCAGGATCCACAGGAACATCTGTATTGTTCACCATTCCCTCCTGCAGGAAACCTTCTTCATTCTACATTTAAAATAGGGAAAGAAAAGTGATAGACTGTAACTGCTTGCCTTGTCATTTACGGCAAAGCGTGTCTTTCCTTCCCATCAGTGACTGACTTCTTGGCCTGTCCTTTGGTTGCGGGATGTTGCCAGGGGTTGTGAAGAGCCAGAGGACACCAGCTCCAGAGAGATCTTCTCCACATTCCACAGTCGTATCCACGGGAATGACTACTATCATCTTTCCGAATAGCTGAAGTGCTGATACCCCATTTCTCTCTTGCCATGGACAGGCCAAGAAGTCAATCTGAACAAAAGAACAGTACCACCACCAACTTGTTGAATATCTTTGGAAAATATTTTAATCGCACAGAAAATGCCTTTGTCAAGTCATGAAGCAAACCAAAACAAGTTTTTTTGCTCCTTAAGAAACTGATCTGGGAAACAGTCCCACACAAATGTTTAAGTAGGCTATCATCTGAATTTCTGTTTAAATACTTGGGGAAATACAGTCACAGGTATGCAAAAAGCCAGAATAACTGGGTAGTATCAAGACACACAAACGAAACAGTAATTCAATTATGTATCTTTTTAATGTTAGTAATTCAATTATATATTTTTTGAATGTTAAAGAGACATCAATCCTCTCATAAATCATTATCTTACAGTTTTAGACTTTTCACAGTACATTTCAAAGTAGCCAAAAAAGGGAGAACTATTATAACTCAGACTATTGCATGTTAGTTTTTTCCTTCAGTTTTAGAACCTAATTGTATTGGGAAAAGCTTTTTTTCCCTTTAATGGGTCACACCTCTATATGCTTTCTTATGTCAACCAGCATGTTACTGTATGCAGTATTAGTATACGATACATGGCACTACCTGATATCCAGCTTCCTACACTTTTTTCTGGGCATCTGTTATTGGCCATTATAGAAGCACTTCTATTTTATATAGCAATTTTTGTAAGACCCTCTTGGAATTAATGCAATTGCAATAGTGTAAGGAATAACATGCTGAGTAATATCACTTAAGTGTTGTCCTAGAACTATAGGTACTATTCACCATCTGAAACAAATACAAATTATAAAGGAAAAAAAACATCCCAGTTGGGCCCATTCCTGTAGTAGCTGTTACCACAGAAGTTCACAGAGAAAACACATGAGTTTTGGCAGAACAGAGACTGCTGGAGTTCATCCTGAACTGTAAGAAAATTGCCTGAAAACAGGCAGAGTAGCTCAGTGGAACTATTGAGACCATGCTGACTTATACCAGTTGCCAATCTAGACAGAAATGCACTAAAAACAATTAGACACTCAGGAAGAAAATCACTTTAAAAAACCCGCGCAGGCTGCTAGCATAGACAGATATACAAAATTAAGTCACAAATCAGACTAATGAGGTAATTCCTCAAAGACTGCAATTTATAGGACAGTGATGCTAAATTAAATTTAAGATACAAATAATATATGAACAAGAGAAGCTAAACCTGAAACTCACCTCTGTGAGTTTAACAGAAAATAGCAAATAATATGCAAAACAAGTGGCGCTAAACCCTCTTTACCTTCACATGCTATTTATCATGCTTCTGCTCTTCACTGTTTGCCATGTATCAGGTCCCTCTGTGGCTTAACCAGGTGACCTTAGTCATAACACTCCGTTCCTTACTTGCTGCATCTCTCCATGCACAAATTGTGACTTTATCTGCCAGACACAAATCCTGTTCTTCCTTGGTTCAGTCACCTTTTCTGGCACCGATACATGTGCATGTTCACATTTTTTACCCTCAAAGTCCATGATGAGCAGAATTTACTTCCACAATGTGGAATCTTCTCTCTAGCTCTTATTTCAGACTTTAAAGGTCCTGTATGAAGATTGCTTCTCAGTGGGGCGAGATATGCTTTTTCCTTTAGAGGTAAACAGTACAGTCCACGTGCAGTCAATGTGTACTATTCTGCCAAGTTTCCTCCATGCATGTGCCTGCTATCAGTTAATACCCTGTGCTGCTCTATGGCATAGATAACATGGGCAGATTCCATAAGTCAAGGGACACCAATGAAGAAGGTTGCTAATATCTTTATTTAGGCCTATGTCTTCCAGAACAACTAATAATTTTGGGTGTTCAACATGATAGGTAACTTTTCAAGCACGAAATTACCAGAAAAACTAGGCCAGTTCTGCCCCAGCTTATCAAAACACTCAAGCTCCTACGATTATTTGATGTGCAATATTTAATTACCCTAGCTTCTAAAATTTTTAGGATTATTTATGCCGCCCATTTACTTTTATGAGAAGTAGCATCCATCCCTACCAGCTTTGAAATAGCTAAATAGTGTGTGCAATGTAAATTTTAAAGCTGTTACTGTGCACTTGATCTAACATATCAGCTCTAAGCATCTACAGCTCTGGTCTACTGCTCTCCTGTTTAATCCAAAATATAACTTGATTTCTGCTCCCCCCTATCATTAAAGAACAGTTTCAGCTAACAATTGATACACCAAGTAAAACCGTGCCTGAAATCAGTCTTGAGGTTGCAGCAGGAAGAAAGCATGCAGCTTACTGTTATCTGTAGCAGGAAAATAGATGGCAAGCGAAACTGCCAGGACCATTAGTATCGACAAAGAAAAACATTTTCCAGACGAATTTCAAAGAAGAGCTTCAAAGCTCATAGGCTGCTTGTTTGTTAGGAACCTCTAACACAGGTCTGGACTGTCCATCAGGATTACAGACACACAATGCCTAAAAAAGGCTGAATTTATCATCTTCTCAAGTTTCTTCAACAAGTTCAGGATGGAGATTCCTCTACAGCTTCAAATAAAACAATCAGCAGCACTAGTAAAATACAACATCAATCAGAACCCAAATATTTTTTTCAAATTAAGCAAATCATAAGCCATACCAAACCACCAAGGGAACTCTTTGCCTGGGAAAGACTTATCGCCTTTGTCCAGCTGCAAACAGCAACATAAATACCATCTTTCATGTTGATGTCAGTGCAGTTCAGATGAGAATGCCATTACTCAATGTCACATTTGTTAAATTTAAATGTAGCACAGGTGACCACATAATTTTTAATGGTGCCTCTCTCTGCTTCTGATGTACCATCACTCCGAAGTCAGGGTATCGCAAAAGTAAGCAAGAATCCCCAGTAACACAGAGCCATCTAAGGTACACCTTGTATCATTATTTACCTCCTTTAAAACAAAGAAATGCAATTTTACATTCTCATGATCAGTAATTTCATATCTTAATTCAGTTATGGAAGGGGAAAACCACCCAATAGACCAATTCTTGTAATTTTTCTCCTAAAGCAGCCACCTTTATTTTTAAAGGATACAGAAGGGCATTTTCAGAGGAAAAGCTTTTTATTAGATCTGAAAAGCTAAACAAAAGCTTTTCAGAGATTAAATTAGTTTTTAACTGGGCAGCATGAGCTCGTTTGCAGGGAAAACACTTAAAAAAGGGAAAATTATAACTCACACAATAAGCAAGTCGTAAAAAGAACGGTGAGGTGAAGACATCTGCTTGTTCCCTGAAGATTCCCCTAAGAAAAAGCAAATGCCGACCTATATCCTGGTTTGAAGCACAATTGCTCTGGGTAAGACTTTTATTTCTGCATCTCCAGAGCTCTTGTGCCCTCCGAGCTCATGTTACGCAAAGCCAGCTTTTGCGGCTAGCCAGAGCAGAGCACACCACACTGCCAATCTCAGGCAGCAAGAGTGGTGTCAGTTTGTGCTATCGGCTCTCCTGTCTGCCTTGACAAAGCTTTGTGACTATCAGACTTGCGCAGCCCAAGACCCACGTGCTATCAGGCTACCTTGCAAGTCCACCCACACCGTCCCTGGGAATGAATAGCTATGGCGTACACCCTCCCTCCCAAAGCATGCTGTGCCCTCATTCTGTCGAGCAACCTATGTCATTTTATAAACAAAGGGAGACAGAGTCCCATCACTGTAAAATGGTACATTTGCATGACCCTAGGTGTCAGTTCTGACTCAAGGAACAGGTAAAAAATAACTGGTATACAAGCAGCAAAAATAAGATGTGAAGTAGAACCTCTTTGCTGCAATGGTTCCAAAATGTTGATTCCTCCTCCTTTACTCCGGGAATGAATCCTGCTAAGCCATGTGCGTGACAGTGTGAAATGACCCACTTTTGCAATAAAAGAGTTATCAAACTAATTAAAAAGTCTTCCTGAAGACCTGGCCATGTTTAAGTTATAGAGCATTTGCCAAAACTTCAGGCTTATTCCTTTTACCAGGAAAACATCACCAAAGGGGTTTCTCTTATTTCAGTGTTTTTGGTGAAAATCACATCCCATTCTTTCCCTTCACCCTCTTTCCCACCTCATAACACTCTTGGTGGAAGAGGAGAGACTGTTTAAGATCCCCTACATGTGGAAAACAGACCAAGTGGTCTGCTCATGGTACCACATCTATGTCAGCACCACGGGGCGAAATGTTCACCTTCAGGAGTGTGCATTCAGTCTTCTTGGTGACGAGTCTTTGAATGCCAAGTTATTTTCATTAGAAATAAATTATTTAATCTCAAGTCACAGACAACAGCAACTTCAAAAGGATGCATTGTAATTATAATTTAGCAGCTGATCTAAGCATTGTAATTTACTATCTCTCTGGCTAGTAATACATTTTTTCGTTCCATTATGAATGCTGAAGGAGTCTTAGTCATGTATATTCTCATGATTACTGGGACTAATTCCTTCTAGCGTGATTCCATATTCTGAGATAAACGAACCAAGCTACCAAAGTGTCAGCTCTTAAAACGTTTATACTGGCAAGAGTAGACCACCCTGGAAGTCACTTCCACTGATCACAGAGGTCAGAAGGCACCTCTGGAGATCGTCTAGCCCAACATCCCAGCTCAGAGCAGGGTCACATAGAGCAGGCTGCTCAGGGCCATTCCTAGCTGGGTTTTGACCATCTCTACAGATGGAGACTCCACAATCTTGCTGGATAACTTGGTCCAGTGTTTGACTGCTTGCATGGTGAAAAAGCTTTTTCTTCGA